AGAATGTTCTTCTGAGCAAAGTATCACAAGAATGGAGGAAAAAGTATCCAATGTACACACCCCTATTATGAAACTAATTTATACCTTTTATTTGAAAGCTATAACCTAATTAACAGCCTAAGAATACAGAGAGGGGGGAGGGAGAGGGGTCAGGGGAATGGGTGGAGGGAGGGGGATTGGAGGGATCACTTCTGAGGTTTATCTTCCAAGGGTGCAAGTGAATCTTTCTAAGAGTAGAATGTGAACGTTTTAGAACAATAACTAAGAAAATGACATGAAGGCTATGTTAACCAGTTTGATAGAAGTATTTAGGATTGTGTGTGACAACCCCACACTGTACCCCAGAAGTGCATTTATGTACATAGTTACCATTCAATAATTAAAAAATAAATAAATAAATAAATAAAAATTAAAAAAATTATATATACTTTATATACAGTGTAGCCATAAAGTTCATGTGCAATTTTAAACTGCACTGCACATGAACTTTATGGACACCCTGTATAGTACTTTATAATATATAATTAATATATAAATAATATTTACTTGAGATCTAATGAGTAATATGTAAAATGATTTCTACTATTTCCTAGCAAAATGACAAACCGCTTGACTTGAGTCAATGATATCAAGACTGTAGTTACTCTCTAATAATTACCACTAATTTATTTGAAGTTGAAAGAAATTCATATATTAATCTTTATCCCTTTAACAGTAAGCTATTCACTTCATCATTTCTCATCTTTTGCTCTGTTTAGTCTCCCTCTTATGCTTTCTCTTGCCTTTATTGTTTTAGAAATTTTACTTTTCTGATAATTCCCATCTCGGCCAATTCATCTTCCTTCTCTCTGTAATATATTTCCATATCATCCCAATTTTTGTTTTATTCACTCTTCTTCCCTTTATAACCCTCCTACTTTTTCTTTTATCTTAATATCTTTAAAGTGAGTTTTCTCTCTACAGACAATAGTCTGCTTTCATCCATTTACAGGCACCATGCTTGATCCCAACAATTTCACATGCTTGAAACTCAACTAAATGTGCTTAATTTTTCCTCTGAGTTATTTTAATATTTTAAAAATTCACTAAACATTTTAGAGTCAATCTTGAAATGTAAAATTCTCAAGGAAATCTAATCTTAAGTACTCATTCCAATTGATGGGAGAAGACCAATATTCTAATAAAGAGGAAATTTAGGGCCAGGCATGTGGTGGCTCACACCTGTAACCCTAGCACTCTGGGAAGCCAAAGTGGATGGATAGCCTGAAATCACAGGCTCGAGATCAGCCTGAGCAAGAGCAAGACCCCGTCTCTAAAAATAGCCAGACACTGTGGCAGGAGCCTGTAATCCCAGCTACTTGGGAGGCTGAGGCAGGAGGATGGCTTGAGCTCAGGAGTTTTTTAACCAGCCTGGGCAAAATAGTGAGATCCCAATCCCATCCCCAAAAAAATGGTGGGAGGGGAAAAGAAAGGTGGAAAGGAAAGAAACTACAAAAAAAGAAAAGAGGAAGAGAAGATAAGTGAACAGAAAAGAAAAAACCATGATCTTAAATGGGAAAAAGGTTTTTGCAGATGTAATTAAGGTAAGAACCAACATGAGACCATTCCAGATTAGAAAAAGTCCTAAATCCAACAAGATTGCCATTAGAAACAAAAAAACATATACAGACATAAAGTAGAAGACAATGTGAACATGAAGACAGATAAGTTATGCTGCCACAGCCAAGAAACAAGAGTCAACAAAAGCTAAAAGATGCAAGGAAGGATTCTCCCCTAGTCTTCAGAACAAACATGGCCCTAACATTTTAATTTTGGATTTCTGACCTCCAAAACTATGAGAAAATAAATTTCTGTTTTGTTAAGCCAACAAGTTTTTGTTAATTTGTTATGGTAATTCTAGGGAACTCTTTTTTTTTTTGAGACAGGAGCCTCAAGCTGTCCCCTTGGGTAGAGTGCCATGGCATCACAGCTCACAGCAACCTCCAACTCCTGGGCTCAAGCGAGTCTCCTGCCTCTGCCTGCCAAGTAGCTGGGACCACAGGCGCCCGCCACAACGCCCAGCTATTGTTTGGTTGCAGCCGTCATTGTTGTTTTGGTGGGCCCGGGCTGGATTCGAACTCGCCACCTTAGGTGTATGTGGCTGGCACCTTAGCCACTTGAGCCACAGGCACCAACCCGGGAACTCTCAATGATACAGATTTTGGTATGGAAGAGTGGTGTGCAGCCATAATAAATATCTAAAATAGAAAAAGCCTACATTGCATTGAAATACTGCGGTAGAAATTCCACATATTAAGAGAATTCTGATGAGGGCTCAAAAGGAAGTAAAGAGGATGGGAGAGAAACATCACCTTAGAGAACATATGTATGATAACGAACTGAATGTTCATAGATATATGAACACAGGAACATTTTAAAGGAGCTTCTGATGAGGTCTCAGAAAGGAAATAGAGAATATGGTATTACACAGTAGAGAAAAGCACTGTTTGTTCCAGAGTGAATGAAAATGTGGCTAAAATATATGTTCTACTGTGGGGTGAAAAGTAAAACTTGGCAACTAATGAACAGCAGTAAAGATTTCCAAGCAAAATATTGAAAATGTGGATTCATTTCTCCTTGCCGTAGTAAAATATGAGAAAAAGATAAATTGAGGAAAAACTATTAAGGAAGAAATCACCAGCACCTGATGATTTGGGAAATTCTCAGCCTATCTAATTATAAAAGATGCTAAAGCATCCTCTGAAGAAGTGGCAAAGGGAGTGGCCGACAAACATTTTTTTAAGAGATTAGGTGTATGACTACTGGATGTGATCAACCACTTCAAGGAAGAGATGATGAGATTTGGCACATTTTGAGTTCATGACATTTAGATGAGATTTGGGGTTTAAACTTGATACTGGTATGGGTTGACATTTGGGAATGCTGAAATGAGGTGAATGTGTTTTGTGTATGAGGTGGAAGTGAACTTTTAGAGGATAAACTGTAATGTGCTAAACAGTATCCCCAAAATTCATATGTGCCTAGACCCTTAGAATGTGAACTTATTTCAGTTCTTTATGTAATTAAGATAAGGGTCAAGATGAGATCATATAGTGTTACATGGGACCTAAATCTAATGAGAATGTACTTAGAAGAGACAGAAAAGAACACACAGAGAGGATAGCAATACCGTGTTTCCCTGAAAATAAGACACTGTCTTATATTTATTTTTTCTCAAGATGACACACTAGGGCTTATTTTCAGGGGATGTCTTACTTTTCCACACCAAAATGCATGGTGTGGCTATGCAGCATATGAGATAAATCACTAGGTCTTATTATCAGGGTAGGGCTTATATTTAACAAATGCACAGAAATCCTGCTAAGGATTTTTGGGTAGGTCTTATTTTCAGGGAAACACAGTATGAGTATGTTGGAACATCTAGAAGTCAAGTCAGTCATCTCTGACTCAAGGAACACTAAGGATTACCAATAACTATCAGGAGATAGGGAGAAAA